TGATTGAGGTAAGACTAGACGTTGATAGAGGAATTTTTATTTTTTAATTTGGTGTCTGTGGGATGGTGGATTATGATGCCAATTACCCAAATCACACTAATAAAGTTTGCTTAATTATGGATTGATGTTTTTACATTAGTTTTGGTATTTAGGTTTCTCGTTGATTGTTTTCTTGCTATAATTGATCGTGGTATTAATTGGTTATGTTATTAATGATATATTATGCGGTAATGGTGCGTATAAAATTGTCAAAGAGGAAATGGACTCTTCTAATGTTGGACTTTGTTAGGTGTTTGTTCATCATATTCTACATTATAACGTATATCATTACGGAAAGACATTATAGAAAATACCTCTTGAGATCAAGACCTAGAAATAATGATTTTCAGAGAATTGGAAATATGAATCGCATGATATATGAGACTGATAGAAGATGTGTAGACAAACTCCACATGGATTTACATACATTCTCCAAGTTATGCTCTATGCTAAGAGCCACTGGTAGACTCCATGATACAATGAATGTTTCTGTAGATGAAATGGTAGCTGTCTTTTTGAATGTATTGGCACATCACAAGAAGAACAGAGTCATACAAAATGATTTTTACCGTTCTGGGGAAACCATTAGTAGATATTTTAATGCAGTTTTAGGGGCAGTTTTATGTCTACAAAATGAGTTGTTAAAAACACCAGAACTAGTGCATGAGAACTCTACAGATGAGAGGTGGAAATGGTTTAAGGTAAATCATGAATTTGCCAAAAGTCTTTATTCTTATATGAAAAATAAGAAATAAATTTTGCTTATAAATTGTTTAATATGTTTAATCTTGTAAAATTGTCTTGGAGCGCTAGATGTGACATATATTAGATTACATGTGCCAGAAGCTGACAAGCCTATGTACTGAACTAGGAAGAATGAGATTGCTACAAATGTCTAGGGAGTATGCTCCCAAGATATGCAATTCATATATGTATTACTTGGTTGGGAGGGTTCTGCTGTAGATTCCCGAATACTTCGTGATGCAATTAGTAGAAGACATGGGTTAAGGGTCTCTCGTGGTAAGAGATGATTGAGTGAATTAATTAAATTATTAAAGTTCTTGGTATTTAATATTTTTTTTATATTTTTATCAACAATAATAGTCACAACTTTTATTCAATAGAAAATTATTACCTTGTTGATGCTGGATATCCAAATGGAGAAGGATTTCTTGCCCCGTACAGAGGGCAGCGATATCATTTAAATGATTGGAGAGATGGATATCAACCTACCACTCCTAAAGAATATTTTAACATGAAGCATTCTTTAGCTAGGAATGTAATAGAGAGGTGTTTTGGATTACTTAAGTTACGTTGGGCAATACTGAGGAGTCCTTCATTTTTTCCAGTGAAGACACAATGCCGGATTATTATAGCTTGTTGTCTTCTTCACAACCTTATAAGAAGAGAAATGACTATTGATCCGAAGAAAATGAGTTAAACGAAAATATATACAACCAAGAAGAAGATGATGTTATCACTAGCATTGACTCATCAGAAGAATGGGCTGTTTGGAGGGCAAACTTAGCCAATCATATGTTCAATGAATGGAGAGAAAATAGGAACCCAAGATGAGCAATTGAAATGGAGAAGAACCTTTTTCTAGGTCGATTTTGGAATGGGGATAAGGGCCTTAAGTTGGTTGAATGTTATATCTTGAAAATTAGATTTTGATGGATATGTGTAGACATTAAACTTTGGAATGTTGTTGATGTTGTTTTTTTTGTTTTTTTGATTTGGATGTTATAATTCAAGGTTTAGACCTTAAAGTGATTTCTCAAGTGACTTGTCTTAAGTAATTACAAGATTATGTGTAAGATTTGAATTGTGTGATGTACTTGCAAGCTGTGTGATCATGTATTTGTCATACTGATTTGCCAATGTTCATTCTAGTTTTTTTTCTTTTTCTTTTTTGGCTTATTCAGTTATTGCACCCTTACCACCTTTTTTTTCTTCATCTAACTCTACTTCCAGTGCACTTTTTGCTTGATAGAATAAATATACTTCTATATCAATGAGCTCTTCTAGAAAGTTTCTATAGAACTTGTTTACAACATAAGACTTTGTTTGTTAGTTGTACGTTAATTTTACATGTTTATGTTCAAATTTTTCTTGTGTATATATGATGGATTTGGGTATGAACTCAACACCTACTACTGCTGGAAGGAATAAAAAGGATAAGCACATTTGGACCCCTATCGAAGATGCATCTCTAGTTGAGGCTTTAAATGAATTATGTGTCGGTGGCTATTGGAAGGTTGACAATGAGTTTAGATCTAGATATTTGGGACAATTAGAAAAGGCTATGGAACAAAAGTTACTTGGATGTGGATTAAAAGCAATTCCTCACATTGAGTCTTGTGTGAAGACATTGAAGAAACAAACACTAGCCATCTCTGACATGCTCACCAACTCAAGTGGTTTTGCATGGAATGATGAAGAAAAAATGGTGGTATGCGAGAAACAAGTCTTTGATGATTGGGTTAAGGTAAGCCAAATTGTATTCAGAATTGGCATCTAATTTCATGGAAAAAAAAAAATAGGTCCATAATTCTGCAAAAGGATTAAGAAACAAACCATTTCCTCATTATGATACTCTAGTGGAAGTTTTTAGGAAAGATCGAGGAAAATGGCAAATG